GTGCCCAGGGGCGGCCCCGGCGCTGCAGTTCAGCGCTTTGCGCGCCGAGCGCCCGCCGACACCGCGCGCCTGGGGCGGCAGCGGCGTTTCCTTACCGGGAAGAAGCAACGAGCGCGGCGGCACCTCACCCCGGTGCCGCATTGCCGTTACCGTTGGACGGCACGTGCAGGACAGGGACAGCACCGCGTACTCGCAGCCTCCGAGCTGCAGTACCGAACATTGGTCGCCGGTAGGCAGCAGCGAGCGCGGGAAAAAAAACCCGCCACCGCGCATGCGCGGCTCCCGAGCTGCAGTACAGACCTCTGGCCGCCGCGCAGCAGCATCCCCGTAACGATCCTCTTCTGAGCATCGGCTGGATGAGGGATGACTGACAGCTCAGCCCAGTAGAGACCAGCCACAGGCGGCAACTACTTACTGGGGGCACAGGGCTTACATTGCCCTGCCCTTTCCCCACTCGCAGCCCGGGCAGTCATCTTCATCGCCTCCGTTCCAAAAAGCACCCGAGTGGCTGGAGCGTTGCCGTCCCTTGCATTGAACTGCTTTAAAAGTCTAGGGGTTGCTCCTGTCCATGCCCCCCACCCCATTACCTGGGGAGGACAAGCAGCACAGGGAACCTACAAACGGGGCGGGGGGGGGCAGGTTGCCCTGGAGCAAGCCCCAGGGACTGCTGCATCGGTCTGCATGTGGCATCGGGGATGTGGGAGCGACAACAGCGAGTCAACAGATGCTGGCGAGAGCTTTTTAAAAAATTAATGCAACACAGGTGTCAGCCTGAAGGCAGGCCGAAGAGACCCAAGTTGCTCTGTGCCAGAGGGGCAGCTCTATTCAGCAGGAAATGGCGCGTCAGAGCAGACCAGATGCGAGCAGCTGACCTGTAAGTGAGCGATACCCTGGCGATCCTGGGGCTCTGTTGGGGTGGGCGCACCTTTCCTTACCTCTGTGCTATCAGAACGCTGCTCTCCTAATCCTGCATACAAGGCTTCTTGTGCAGAGCTTGTCTCTTACCTAAGAGACACTGCACAGTGTTACTTACCGCCCTGCCCTCCAGCGTGCAAAGTAACTAGACATGAAGCAGGGAAAGCAAAGAGGCATGTTAGTATATTAGATGTCCTTAGCAGATGACCGTAGAGCCCTGGAGGTTCCATCTTTGCTCTGTACAGGAGCATAGGTCTGCACTCCTTGTTGCTCTCTGCCAGCAAGCATCACAGTTGCACTTTCCTGCCTGCAACACACAATACTTAGTAGGCTGGATGGGCCGTTCTGCCAATGTGTCAGGTAAGCATCTCAGTTCCTTTGGCTGCCTAATTTGCCTCCTTAAAACAAACACTTCAACACTCGGTTTCTTTAATTCAGACCGCTCTAAAGATCTCCTGGCCTGCAAGCCATTTTCAGCTAACACCACAGCTGAAATACAGCACTGGTAGAAATCTAGCTGTTGTCTTGCTTTAATGGCAAAAGGCTTTTGTAACTTGAATCCCTGATTGTTTTGGCATCAAGACTGCAAGGCAAGAAATTTGCCTCTACTTGAACAAGACACCTGCCAAACAGCTGTGCAGTGATACGTGGCTGCCTGTCACCAACACCTTTTTCTGCTAAAACCAGAGCACGGTTCCCTTGTGAAGAGCCATGGGCAGTGCAGAAAGTACCTCAGCTTTCCCTGCACCGGGTCCCCAGAGAACAGCATCTTACTCTGACTGGAGCGTGCAGCAGCCTGTTTTTATCCCAGCCCCTTGCCCTTGAGAAAGCAGCTGCCTGTAGCAGCGGCAGAACTGCTGCGGCCCAAGGGGAAAGGAATGACACGGTGTAAAGCTCTCCAGGGTGCCTGTGTGCCGTGCAGAGTTGATGACCTCAGCAGCCTGTACACAGGGCCACGCTAACAACCTGAGAAGGAGTCACTACCCCTCAGTCACACAAGACTCTGCAGTCAGTATGGGCCCCCTGGTGTCCCACTGGGGCCACGCAAAGCTGGCTATGTTCTTCCTCCTTGCCCTCCTATATCTCTGGGCACCCTGTTGTGTCATTTTGCTTGTAAGAGTTTGCTTTCCTACTCCTTCATCCTTACTCTCTTCCAGAGCAAATACACTCCTTGAGGAGTAATAGTAATACTGTTATGAGAGATGCACTCTGGAGCCCTCAGTCTCAAGAAGACATCTTTCTGCTTCACGCAGTAGGAAAAGAATCACCATACAGCTCCCAGAAGTACTTCGACAATTTTTTGTCAAAGACAGCACTGCAGAAAACCACTATACAGCTTGCAAGCTCTCATATAATACATTTAGAGCATGAAGATTCTGCTTAGCACTGAGACTGGTCTACAGGAAAGTCACGGGAGGCCACAACTAAAGCTACTCTGCAGCTATAGGAGAGCAGCCCAGAACTGGGAAAACTAAAAATAGCTTAGGACCATCCTCTAGAACCAATAGCACATAATACTACTGCCTTACATCTCTGACAGTTGCATAACATGTGCAGAACAGCCTTTCACTTAACTACCTGGAAAAGAAGATACAGGGTACTTTCGCTCATTGTTTCTGTGTCTGTTAGAAATGCACTCTAAGCTGACTGACTCACAAGAATGCTTGAGACCCGAGGTGGATGTAATTCTACTTTATACTAATTTTGGCTGTTCTGAAGAGTGGGGAGAGTCATCATCCATCAAGACTTCACGCTGTTATCTAAATAGCCCATACTAATACATTTAATAAACAAAAATACAGATTTCAGCACACATATAATGTTGAAATTAATGTTGAAAACAAACAAGAACAACAACAAGCAAATCCGACTCCTGTGTAAAATACCACTTTCCCAGTTTCACACCATAGGCAGGAAATCAAAAGCAAGAAATAGCGATTTATGCAAGCCAAGCCATCCCTGGCTTGGATATATCACTTTACCTCTCTGCTCTAGTCATCGAGGCATGCGTTGCCAATTGGTATGGCCACAGCAACCCCTTTTAAATTTGACTGAATTCTGTCCCCGTAACAAAAGCAGAATTTGATCCTTCTGTTGGGGAGTGCTCTGCTAGTGATAAGCACCGTACATGCTAAGGTACTGAACATTGCATTTTACAAAATTGCAAGTTCTCATTATGCTTGCTCACTACCAACCAGAAAAAGATGACCTCTTTCACAGACTGAGATGGACAGCAGAATAGCTGAATAGTAACACAGTTATTCTGAAGTGTAGAACCCCAGGAAATCTAAGAAAGTCCAAGTCTAGTTCTCACCATTTCCTGATGATCAGTAAGGCAAACAGTAGTTTCCGTTATGCAAGATTTGTTTCAAAACCAGAAAAGCATTTTTCCCTCTTGTTCAAGGCCAGTCCCTTAGAAAAAGCTATATGACACTTTAAAGAGATACCGAATACCAAAACACCAACACCTCTGTGCAAATCTTCACTGACATCTTTTTGGTCATTTCCACGGATACAGTTGCCATATTCCAGGGATGATCTTCTAAAATATTCATTCAGGCATTGAAAGTAAATCACCATTATTAGCAGAAGCACTTTGAAAGAATGCTCCATTACATTCAAAAAAGTGAAAGCCCTCTCCCAGCTGCACAATTAACATGTTACAGACCTGTGCTGCTTTTTCTTTCAGTGTATTAATATATCTATGTTAAAACAGAGTTCTACCCTGCAATAAACTGCATAATATTATAAATGTCAGATCTACAAAATTAATGAGAATCATACATAAATGGAGAAGGCAAATGTAACCAAAAAAAAGAGCAATATCAAAGACCCTATCATTCATTAGTAAAACTCTGAGATGTGCATATACCATTGTCCATTCATGTAATGACTGAGCATTATCTAGCACTTTGCTTTTATTTACTTAGGAGATGTCTCCAAACTAAAATTTCATGAACTTGAGATATGAGACATACCATTAAGTTGAGCTACTGACCTCAAGTTCCTTTCACAGTGAGTGGTGATATGGTCATTAAAATTCAACATTTGATCCACCTGATCGAATGCTGGGGTCTAATTTTGGACAGGATAAATGATCCTCATGTTTATGAGAGCTCGTTTGAGTCAACTGACACAAACGGCTATTGCAAATTGCTTCCTTTACCTGAATGACAATGAATGGGATTCTGGGGGCACAGAGCTGGCACGCCACAATCGCCGAGAAAGAAGGATGCATGCCACTAGACTGCACAGGAAGGCCACCTTCCAACAGGGTCATTGAGACAGGAGTAGGCTATGACCAAGAAGCATCACAGATTCTTCCTGTGTTCTGCTGTTCTATACAGCAGGAACAGTCCAAGATCTGAGCTGCACAAAACTGTGTTTCAGCTGGTTTTACACCCTTTTTGGCTTGATGTCTGAACATTTCACTCTGCAACTAAGGATCTGGTCCTTGCTTTGTGAAAAAGCATCTGCATATGTGGAAGACAACAAAGATTTGCAACGAGCATGCCAATAAACATCATTAGGGCAGCAATCTCTTTGGCACGACAGTCTAACCCTACTGCGCCTCAAAGTCCTATTATGCTACCTAAGCTGGATCTGTACAGAACAATTACACAAAAAGGATCGTTGTTCCTGAAACTGGCAAAACCAAATTATCACTTCACTGTAAGACAACTCTTTCAGGTCAGCAGTCTCGAATGCAGTTCATTAGCAACAACTTCTGTTGCTTCTGCTCTTAAAAGAGGCGATCAGAGTTCATTTTTTGAAGTTTGGCAGGAAAATTATCTTCCGATTTCATCTCTAAAGTGCACATACTTGGAGGGTTCTTCTGTAACTTGAGGTCGACAGTAGGCTGAGTCAAAGCCTTGGCATTTATTTTTAAGGCTTTCAGCTGTATCCTCTCATCACTGTCTTCACCATCAGAAATGGGACTTATTTCTTGAATTTTCAAG